GAATGCAATTAGGTAGATGAAATAATTTGGGCACACTGACGATGGAAAGATCCGCGGTTGAGGTTTCTACTCTTCTAGCAAATCGCACAGTTTCCGGTGATTGATCTGAAGGAATATAGAGGAAGAAAAAGTAGTAGTCTGAATAAAGGCAGCAGACCGAGTTGATTTCTCCCCGTCCTTCCCCCAATCAATCACCGGCGGTAATAGCTCGACAGAGACTTCATCTCCCCACCGGGTTGATGAGCTGAGAGAACACCGCACTGTTGTCCGACTCCTCGCTCACCTCACTCCCGCCGCCGACGCTTCCATTGCCGACCGCCACTGGCCTCTCCGTCGTCTCCTCCGTCACCGGCTTCCCGCTCTCGAAGCTTTCCTGCAGCTGCAGCGCGAACTCGAGGTTCCATAGCACGTCGCCCATGGAGGGCCGGTCGACCCCGTGATCCAGGAGGCACTTCTCCGCCGTCTCAGCGAACTTCTTCAAGCACTCGGGCCCGATCTTTCCCTCCAGAAGCGGGTCGACGATGTCGGCGAGCACCGCCTTCTTCTGGCAGTGCAGCGCCCAGTCGGCGAGGCTGACCTGCTCCCTCGGAAGGTTCGGGTTCAGCGCCGGCCGCGCGCACAGCACCTCGAACAGGACGACCCCGAAGGAGTAGACGTCGGATTTCTCCGTCAGCTGCTGTCGCCGAAAGTACTCCGGGTCGAGGTAGCCGAAGCTGCCCTTGACCATGGTGCTCACGTGGGTTTGGTTCACCATGGGGCCGGTCTTCGACAGCCCGAAGTCGGACACCTTGGCCACCCAGTTCTCGTCGACCAGGATGTTGGTGGTCTTCACGTCCCTGTGGATTATGGTATACTTGGCGCCGGTGTGGAGGTAGTGCAGTCCCCTCGCCGCTCCGATGCTGATCTCCAGCCTCTGTTTCCACGACAATGGCGGCTTGCCGCTCTTGTAGAGGTGCTCCCTGAGCGTGCCGTGCGCCATGTAGTCGTACACCAGGATCATCTCGCCGTTCTCTTCGCAGCAGCCGATGAGGGAGACCAGGTGCTTGTGCCTCAGCTTCGACAGCATCTCGATCTCGGTCTGGAACTCGTTCACGCCCTGCTCCGACGACGGGTTCGACCTCTTGATCGCCACCTTGGTCCCCTCGTCGACGACGCCTTTGTACACCTTCCCGAACCCTCCCACGCCGATGACCAGCGACTCGTCGAAGTTCTTGGTCGCCTTCTTGATCTCCGCGAAGGAGAAGTGGCGGCACATCGCCGCCAGGTTCGACAGGTGGCTGCTCCCGGAGCTCTTGCCGGAGATGGTGGAGCTGCTGGTCGATGTACCGCCGTACAGGGGCAACCAGCCGGAGCCGCCGCTCGAGTCGTTGCCGCCCACCCTCTTCTTGCGCTGATACACCACGACGCAGATGGCAAAGAAGACGCTGGCAGCCGCAACTCCGCCCGCCGCGCTGCCTATTATGTGCACGTTGCTGCTCGACTCGGACGAGAAGCTTCGTTGCGCCTCCTCCGACTCAGCTTCGGCGAGCATGGAAGAAGGCTCGGGGTTGGGTCCTGCCAAGTTCCCCGCACTGTCATTGAGCTTAAAGATCTCCAATCCGTTCAGCACCGAGTCGTAGTACTCGGGCTTCGCCGCCGCCGAAGGATGCAGCGCCACCCAGAGCTGCTCGTCGCCGGGGCCGTCGGCGACGTACACCGCGTAGTCCTTGTACACCGGCACGGCCTTGGAAGAAGCCCACGCGATTACGTCCGCTTGAGCCTGCGCGGTCTGGTTGTTGACGAAGATGTCGAACACTCTCTGGTTGACCTTGGTCATCTGCAGCTCGCAGAAATGGAGCCTGACGACGTAGGTGAAGTTGGCGTCGACTTGGAAGATCCAGGTGAGGTTGTAGTTCATGTTGACCTTGGGATCAGGGCCCATCGACCTCGCCGTGCGGTAGACGTCGGTGGGGGCAGCGGACTCCGCCGTCCCCTCCTCCGGGTAGCTTATCTTGAGCTTGTTGCTGGCCGAGGTGGTGATGCCGAAGCCGGCACCGTAGATGTAGGGGGAGTCGTCGTACCAAGTCCGGCTGAGGCCGGAATCGTTGCTAGCCGGCAAGTACTGCCCTCCCACGTTGAGCCTGTACATCGTCAGCAACGCAGAGCTGCCAACCTCGACGGCCTGATCCGAGAAACCCACCAGCTCCGCCGGCTCGCTGTAGATATCCGGCATCGACACGATCTCGATGCCGTTGACGAAAGCGAAGGAACTGTTGTGGTCGGCCGACGGCGTGAAGGTGAGGCTTATGCTTCCGGCGGAGGTCGGCAGGACGGAGAACTCCTTGACGATGTAGGCCTGCGTGAGGGCCTTGGCGGTGATGTACGCGCTAAAGTTCTTGAGGAGGGTGATGCCGTCGGAAGTCGAGACGGAGAAGAAGGAGTTCTCCGGGGGGAGGCCATTGTAGGCGGACGGGTAGAAGTGGAGGCGCACCCAGTGGCGCTCGGACCCGTTAACGGCGAACTTGTAGGTGGATTCCGAGTTGAAGACCCGTGCGGACATGTAGGGGACGGTGGACGGGAGCGCCGGGTCCTGGTAGAGGGCGGTGGCCGGGGCGGAGTTCTTGGAGGTGAGGCTGGACTTGGAGGTGGAATCCGCCAGCCATTTTCGGCCGTCGGCGTCGGTGGCCTCCGAGGAAAATCCACAATTGAGGAGGATCGAATCTGAGGGGAGGTAGGCGGCCTGCGAGGCAAAGGACGAGAAGAGAAGGAGGAGGGAGATGAGAAGAGAATCTTTCGCCATTTCCTTCTGCTGCTATTGGTACGGATCAATCCATGGAGGTACGAAGAGCGTCGATGGGAGGAAGAGGGCAACAGAGGAGAACAGAGAACAGTTGGTGTTCTTTCTCTGCTTTCGCTCTGTTGATGTCCTTTGCGCTGTCGCCTCTGTTCTTTTCTTCGGGGGAAGGAGGAGGGGAGGAGCGTTGATACGGGAACGGCAGGCCGTTGGAGGCGGTAGTTGGAGAATGAAAGGCGGGGGAGTTCGGTTACCATCGGGTGGCGGGAGACAATTCCACACATAGAACATGCTAAGATTGGATATGACATGGTGTACATGCCATTCGCGGCTTGCTTGCTTGTTTGAATAGTATTCGATTAAACGGTCAAAAATGTTATTTTACTGCTTGGATGACAAATATTGACCCTTCCAATCCTAACGATGATCATGAGAGGTTTGGATCAAACTAGAGTATGTCTCATAATAATAATTATGTTCGCTGTTTTCCTTTGGTAGCATCTACTCATTCGCAAATTAATTTGAGAGTGATATTTAGATCATAACGATGATTACGATTTGGGGGGCATTTTTGTGTCCTGTAAAAATATTTAGAAGCAGCAATGTGGTAACAAAAACTTTCTGTGGATGCATCAACACTGTCAGAAATTAAATAAAGAGTACCAATAGAATATAAATGAATGAATGATTTCACCAGCAAATCAATTCAATTAATGTCAGATGGGAACGTCGGACGGATTCAGGAGGTCAGAAAGCACAACCTTAATAAATATGGACGACAAACAATTAATTATTAGAGACAACCATGCCGCATCTAGTGAGCTCACAATTAGGTCAACAATAAGGTTACGACATCAACATCATTTGCCTCGTGAAACAATGACGAATTGGCCAAAAAGGACAAACCTGCATGAATGCCTTCTTGTATAACGTGAAGAACAACTCCTGTTAAGTTCTACCATTTCAAATGCACATACCACGACACACTGTGAATGAAGCAAGAAAACAACATAAATTATATGATAACATAAAGTTCATCCAATCTGACGAAGTAACTCCGGGATTAGGTGATGGAAGAAGTACTCAATGTGGTGACAGAACGAGTGTTTGTATGTTCTTTCCCAACGTAATCATCACAGGTTTGGGGTGTAACACCATAACAACATGGCTCTAACAAGGGCTTCCTCACGAAGGATTTAAGCAGTAACTGATGAGGTTAGAAAATTGCCTCAACGATGACATGAGACCTCTTCGTTATTCCTGCTCCTACGATATGGTTAAGATATACCCTTCCATCCTTGACAGTAGCTGATGAGGCGACTCGGTGCATGGGTCCAATGTACCACCCTGTGACATTGGCCGTCTCCCAACCATCAAAGCTTTCCACCAATCTTGCAGAGGGTGTACCAGCGATGACCAGCTTAGTTGGTGAAACCAACTCCATACCATCCCCCATCAGCAATGACCCTCGAACTCTAACCACTGCGACTTCTTCATTCGCCGTGTTAACCTTGAAGAGATGACCGCTAGCAGTGTGGATGACCAGCAGATAGCCATCAGGATGGTGCACGATACCGTTCAGACCAACAAAATTATAGTACCATTCCTTCCTCTGGATGAAAAAGTTGCTTCTAATAATGGATACCAATTCACCATTCAACCCCACCTTCCATATTTTGTTTGCCATTGCATCTGTGATATATGCGTTCCCGTCCTCGTCTACTGCTACATCATCAGCAAATGAAGCTTCATCTCCTACAACATACAGAACCATGGTCGACAAATGATTAATCTGAAATCAGAATTTTACATGGAAAATATGTTAGAGCTCCACAGTTTGGATTCAAGCATATACTGCTACCAGGTAACTTTACTTGGCCGACCATACGTTTGGATATAAAACTGGATAAACACCCAATACCTAGGTTGACGTGTGTATATACATGTACAGAAACAAGAATATCTAGTTTTACCGATACATGCTATACATTGTTCAAAGTTTTCTTTCAACTTATAGGCCTCAATATGATACAAACATGCAAATAAAAAGTCTCTTACCAAGAAAATTTTCAATGTCGAGCAATTCTATCATTAGTGCTAGGTCTGACTAATGGAACCTACACCCGAATTAACTTTAGACCAGCTATGTTACATAAATTCATGGCATTAGCATCTTCAGATTTGCCATTCGGAGAACTTTGATATAGCATATTCTGGCATCTGCTCTACGAACACGTCGACAACCATGACGGATCTGGCACGACGTTCCAAGGCCAACATGGCGCACCGAGCTACCTGCCATCGATGCCGCTAGCATACCACCAATACCGCTCAAGGCTGTACGGAGTGGTGCAATCCTGTCCTGAGCTACTCTAGAGGCGTAGAGTAGCGTCGAATGAAGCAGAGCCAAACAAATCAGACTGCCTCTGCGTCCCATCATACGAGCTGACCACCCATGGCGATGGTGCCTTTAAACACCTACGTACGAAGACGTCGACGATCATTAATAACTACATATGTCAACACACGACAATAGGTATAAAGCCACCCCCGGGACAACACTGGAGGTCGGACCTGAGACACATACATACACACACACTAACTCTCCCATCTCCAACTCTTACTAACCTAAGTATCGGAGAGACTAAATCGAGAATCCCCCTCCCTGATCTGTGTGCAGGAACCCGACTGTCACGAACGGTCATCGTGCACCTGCAACAACTTCATTCAACAAACCGTTCATCGCTTTTACATTCTTATATAGAGATATGACATCATATTTTGCCTTGGTTATGTGTGTTTTTGCTTGAAAAATAAGCAACGATAGTTCGCAACTTACAGTGTGACCACTCGTCGCGTTGGGCTGAACTACCCCAAAATGACTTCGTTTCACGTGTCATGAGTTGTTTTTTGTAAACCGTAGTTGCACACAAAACGTCAGCCATCTTAGGACCCTGGAACCCGCCAGGTGGCACAGGACTGGATGAGGCTTCGATATATTGTCGGGCGTTTGAACAATCTTCACAAGTTCGCACGTTATCTTGATGGGAACTTGCCTTCGCGCCCGGCACCCGGTGAGCAATTGTTTGTGGATTTGCAATTATTCGCTCTACCTTCTAAAGTCCTTATTTTCTCCTTCTTCTTTTTTCTCTCTTACACTCAAGGTGCTCACTGAATTGCTTGTAAAGCTTCCCTCTTCACGAGACATCGGGACTTGTCCGTTGCTCATTTTCAATTTAATCAACTTTCTATTTTACAGGTCCTTCGAGACCTATACGAGATTGCAACTAAGTTGGCCCTTTACGGACGTATACGCTGCAAGGGTGCCTCATGACTTAGGCAATCCCAACTAAGTCCAAGGAGTTGGCGCAAGGGTGCTTCATGACTTAAGTAACTCCAGCTAAGTCTGTGACTTTGTCGCAAGGGTGCCTCATGACTTACGCAATTCCAACTAAGTTCGTGACATTGTGGTATCAGAGCAGACAAGCAATTCGAGCAAGCAGCGAAGAAACTTCACAATCTCGCCATGGTAAAGCATCATGGCGAATCGAGCAAGACAGGGCAAGCCAAACCATTGCCCCAAGCAACCGCAGGTAGGTTGCAAGTGTAAATTCGCTCTCATGCTATTGGTGTCGCTCTGGAGGAGCGTGGAAACGAACATAATGAGCGAGAAGTTGGCTACTCTCTGCGAGTAGAGGAGACACAATCTAGAGCGCCAACCGGGAAAAAGAGTCATAAGAAGAGACTCTCAACGATAGAAACCCGCTTGGATGCTCTTGAAGCGAGCTTAGAGGAACTTTTACAAGGCCAACGAAGACTTCTTGGGGCAGAGAGCTTACAAGAAGAAGTCAAATCCCGAATCGACAAGGTTAAGGCCTAAGCCGTTCGTTTGACGAACGATACAAAAAACTCCATGCAACACTTACACGAAGTCGTGGTAGAACTCACTTTTAAAGTGACAATACTCACAAGGGCACTATATACGGGAGGGAGTAACACCCACATTATGCTGCCACAAAACTTGAGGGCACTTGAGCCTCATTGCTATGGAGGTGCTAGGGACGCAAAGGAGCTTGAGAATTTTTTATTTGATATGGAATAATACTTTCGAGCTATAAGGCTCGATTATGAAGATATTAAAGTTTCAATAGCAACAATGTATTTGAACGAGGATACAAAACTTTGATGATGAACCTGTTGGAAGGAGATCCAATAAGGTCAGTTTGGGGTGGACACACGGAAGGACTTAAAGCGAGAGTTGAGAATTCAGTTCCTACCCGAGAACACAGAGTTCATTACAAGGAGGAAGCTGAGACAACTCCGCCAAAGTACTTCCATCCGAGAGTATGTAAAGCAAATTTCTGCACTAATGCTGGATATACAAGACATGTCTGAGAATGATAAGTTGTTCAACTTCCTCGATGGCCTAAAGCTACGGGCTCAACAGGAACAACATTGAAGGAATATCACCGATGTGATCGGGGTAATTGCAACTACAGAAAGACTCATCGACTTTGTTTCCTCGGAGGACTCAGGGAAAAAGAAATAATCTTCAGGAAATCACCCTCCAAAATATTCTCGAGGGAAGAATCCCGAGGGTGAGCAAAGGAAGAAGAGTTCCCACAAAAGGCTAAGCTCAAAAGACAAGACCAAAAAACCTGACGAATGCTTCTTGTACGGAGGGTCGCACATGATGAGGGAGTGTCCACAGAAACAGACACTTAATGCCTTAACAGCTTCAATCCATCCCCCCAAGTTAGACAAGGACCAGGCCGTCGCCCTTAGTTCAAGTAGTTCAGAATCCAACAACGATGATGAGGAGTCGCAAGGTCCCCGAATGGGAGCAATGAGTTTGTTGAATGCATTATGGGGTCGAGTGGGGGAGAACATAAAGGTAAAGCCATAAAAAGCAGGGAGTAGTGAGCTGATGTACGTCGACATTAACCTCAATGGCTAAACAATCCATGCAATAGTGGACATGGGCACTACCCACAACTTTATTGCTGACTGAGAAGCAAAGCGACTTGGGCTGATTTTAGATAAGAACCCAAGTCAGATGAAGGCGGTGAACTCGGAGGCCAAGCGAATCTCCGGGCTAGTAAAGGGAGTCCCTATCAAGATCGGAACATGGAGTGA